TGCTAGAAGATAGATTTTGTGCATTACCAGACTCTCTTGGCATTATTGCCATAAACTCATAATTTTAGGGCCTTTGTGGTATTTTTAATTATTACAGTATCTTAGTTTAAATATTTCCTTAAGTGTGTAAGATGCATTAATTATGTGTCTGTTACTTTTCTTGTTTCACACCTTTTCACAACCTTTCAAAGACTGGTCAATCATTGCGTTAAATCTCTGACGACTTTTCGTTTGTACTCAACCGCCATTTATCAGCCTTTTTAAGTTCAAAGCCTCATCTGTCCCTCTCACATTGTTTGTATCTCCACTCCCCTGCTCCAAACCCTACCAGATTTTGGAGCAGTCAATCTAGGAGACTTTGTATCCCCTCTCAGAGATCTTGAGAGGAACCAGTCAATCTAGGAGACTTTGTATCCTCTCAAGATCTCTCAGATGATGCTTGTAGTCTCAACGAGAAGGCCTTAGGAAAACGACCCATGGCAGACCTCCCTGAAACCTTCACTCCCAAAAATCCCAAAACTGATCTCTCTAGTTCTCTTGAGACTGACCTAAATTTCTGGGATACTCCAAACAGGAATGCCTTCATTGCTTTCAAAGACAAGTCTGTCGCTCATGTCAGAGTTGTCGATTTAAATATCATGGACATCCTCAATTGCAAAGTGAAGGAACTCTTCGACTTCCAGGGTTGGAAAATTTTTCTCTCCTTGCCTCCTCTAAAGTTATATGAACCCCTTGTTAGAATGTTTTATGCTAATCTTCACTCTAGCAAACCTGATAAATTAGAAACCTTGGTTCTTGGCAAACGTATTGTTATGGATTATACTCTATTTGATACTATTATCAATGTAGTTGTTCTGATTTCTATGCTCTTTAAGAATACCTGGCCTGAGCATTTTGAAATCTCTTTTGATCAAGCTAAAAGATGTATAGCTGAATCACCCTCTGACTCTCTCCCTAGTCAACTAGGACCCAGTGATGTCTGTTTTGAAACTGTGTCTTAGCACATATTGTAGCAACCACTCTTCATCCAAGAACAAGATCATTCTCTACTTTCTCCCAGCGTGATACCTTCTTAGTTTACTGCCTTTTGGCCAAGCACAAAGTCAAGTTTTCATCGTGGGTCATCAATTTCATGATAGAAAGTGTCGATGATCCCACAAGTCATCCTTATGGTATGTTTATCATCCATCTGCTAGACTTGTTGACCATCCCTACATCACTGTCACCAAGTCTTAATATTTTAGGGGATTTGTTGGGTTATATTTCTGTAAAGGTTGCTGGTTCAAGAAACAAGAAGGTGAAACCAAGAATATCCCCTCCGATTCCAACGCAAAGACTCCTGTGTCTCACCCCAGTACAAGTGATTCTGACTTCTTTGAAAAGCTTGTTTCCATCAATGAAACATTGTCTTTCATCGAGAACTCCTTAAGACTCTCCCACATAATGACGTCAATCGAAGGCATCAATCAAGGGATGTGGCAACAGGCATATTCTCTCAATTAAGGAAGAAATCACTCAAGCCCGCGAGTCAAGACTAGTCAGAATCAATCTACGTATCCGTCTGAATACAAACTCCCATGGGTTCACAATCTCTCAAAAAGATGTACAATGCTTGAAGGCATCGAGAAGTATAAATACCTACTGCACTGGCCTTGGAACGATATACTTTGATCAAACCAACTTCAATCTCTTTGTTCTACTTCAAACAAAATAATGTAGTGTGCTTTAGATTTCTTGTGTAACAAAGAAGAGAGAGAGAGAGAGAGAGAGAGAGAGAGAGAGAGAGAGAGAGAGAGAGAGAGAGAGAGNATTGGAGAATCACATGCCAGTTTGTTCCAAAGGTTGAGGCAATTGGACATGTTGAAGCCGATTCAGATAAAAATACCGAACCCCCTTCCAAAGAATTTTGATTATTCTCAAAGGTGTGCATATTGCTCTAATGCCCCGGGGCACAGCATAGAAAAGTGTTGGAATCTGAAAAGAGCAGTCTAGAAGCTTGTTGATGCAGGTGACATTGTCGTGCAAAATGCAGATGCAGCGGATACTAGCCAAAGTCCATTGCATGTTCATAATGAGACGCATATGGTGGGTATGATTTGTGTTGAAAAGGGATATAAGAACTCTTCTGAGCTCCTTGGAGGGCCACTTTCCGCAAAGTTTTCAGCGCTATCAGTCTCGGTTCTAGAAGTTGATCTTAAGAACGAGTCGGCAAAAGGGACCCAAAGCTATTTGCTGTGGCCAATGTGATTGAAGTTGGTAATGGTCTTGGTAATATTGATGTGGAAATCAGTGGCTAAGATGTCGAGCTCGGTAATTGGAAAGACGCTCCTTTCTTGGTTAGCGGGAGAGGAGTCCTGGTGGTTTATTTTGTTGTCATTTCTATTATCCGGGTTATTTCAGGGTTGTAATCCGAATATTGCCTTGTGACTCAAACCCTTCTATCCTTTTATTTTGCCTAGTTCGTTTAGTCATAGTAACTCGTTTAGTGTTATCTAGGTTTATTCCAGGGTTGTAACCCCAGTTTATTTTGCTTGTTTTGTTCAAACCTTTTTCACCGTCTGTCTAATGCAATATTCTATTTTCTGTTAGTTCTAGTCAGTTCTTGTTTAGTTCTCTTTTCCTTTTATAGTTCTTTTCATACTGACTCTAGTTTCATGACATGCACGCGTAATTCTCAGCCTGGTCTTAAAAGTTAGTCTAATCATGAAGCAATAAAACAAGTTCTGAAGATGAATATTTGAGGGAAATAAGTAAAGATATGGACATTTTGAGGTCATTTAAAGCCCGAATTGTGTGAAACTGAGGCAGATAGTTTGGGAAGTTTATAGGAAGACAAGAATTTGTTACAAGAGAGTGCATCCCAGACAATTTGAAGCAAGCAACTTTGAGTTCAAGTGCATCTCAAGTTACAACATAAAGCCAAGGGAGTTTACTCCAAACTGACGGGGCACATCCATTGTGAAGAAGAAATCACCCAACAAGAGCTCTGTACTTGACAAAGCACTAAAGAAAGGTGGAAGGCATATCTGCGATATCAATGCCGATGCTGCAAAAGAAATGCTATGCATGATCTTCATTTTTCATCTTCAAGTTGCATGTGTTATAGTTGGTATTCTTAGAGATTGGGAGGCCCTCTTTCAGCTACCTAAACACTATATACCATTCTGTACCCTTTTGAGCCTGTGCTGATTCTTTGACCTCCCCTCTTTTGGAATTAAGTTAGAGTCAAAAAAAAAGGAAGAAGAAAGAAAAAGAAAAGTTCATGTCCCCATAGGTTTGTTTTAGAAAGTTCATTCCAAAAGAAAAATTCAAAAAGAAAAAAAAGAGATAAAGAAAAAAAAAGAAAAGAAAAATAGCAACAACAAAAAGTATTCCTGTGAACTACGTTCGACCTGATTCTTGTCACCACAAGATACGTAGGCAACCTTACGGTTTGGTCGTACCAAGAAAAATATTTCATAATCTCACGAAGTCAAGAGTATGGCAGTTTTTCTTATAAATTCCATCTCAAAAGAGAGAGAGAGAGAGAGAGAGAGAGAGAGAGAGGGAGGGAGAAAAGAACACCGGTGAGGCATTGTATCAGTTATAGAGCGAAGAACGAGAGACAAAAGATGTTGGTGTATAATAACATCAACTCATATGTACTAAGCCACTTCATACTGAAAGAGATCGCCCTTGCAACCCAAGGGGACTGGACGTAGGATTCACTCTAAATCCGAACCAGTATAAAAACATATTGTGTCATTTACTTTCTGCAATTTATCTTTTTCATTCGATTCCTGAAAAGTCTAGTCGACTAGAACTCAAATTAGTCGACTACTTCGAAAAAGAAAAAGAAAAAGCACAATTCACCCCCCCTCCCCCTCCTGTTGCACTTTCACTATAAATTGAGGATCCTTGCTTCTCATTCAGTAACATCCACAATGTAGCCAAGGGGTTTGAGAGTCTTGTTTGGGGGAAAAAAATTTCGGGACAAGTGTTAGTGTGTCACTTGTGTTTGTCTCTTTGCGCGGTTGTTCTCTCGATGTTTTGTACTCACTTTTATATAGTTGATTGCTCATCTCCGCCGTGGACGTAGGTCAATTTATCGAACCGCGTTAAATATTTGTGTCTCTTTTGGTATATTTATTTTATGTTGTCTGATTTATCGTCGTTCAAGTATTGCTTACTACCTTCCGCATGACACCTTTTTTTTCGATCCTAAAAATAACAACACTAACTCACCCGTGATGTTTCCCCTGCAACTCATCATTTTGATCATAAGTCAAAAACTAACAATATTTGATTTAGTGATTTACAAGCACTCTGGATTTAGTACAAAATGAAGAAATTTAACTTAAATCAAGCAGCTCTAGTTTGGTAGCCTTTTAGTACCTATTTTCCTTAGGTCACCACTACAAATCTCCACTGGTTCAGTGGAAGTTATCAAAATATTGAATACGGGATACTTGCTTTATAACCTCATAATATTTTAATGTAGGTTGTTGATGGCTCAACTGGGCAATCTAGCCATTAGCTTTGGCTATGGGGAGCAGAACTAGGTGAGGTGGCAGATCTTTTCGTTAAGGAAGAAGCAAAGAAGAAGCTTTTTGATGGACCTAGAATTTTAGTAGTTCCTTCGATATTTGCTAATGAAATTTTAGGAATTATGTTTAATAGACAAAAATGTAATAATTAATTTTGATAGTTCTTTCGATGTTTGCTGATGAAATATTATGGACAGACATCTTAATAATTACATATTTAATAGACAAATTAAGGAAGCTGGACAGTTCAAACGGGACATTTGCTATGTAATTAACATATAGTTTACCCCCAAAAAAAAAAAAAATAAATAAAAGAGCGGAAAAAATTAAATATTAAAACAACTCTAATTTCAAGGACATCAATAACTTTGGAGCTTTTTTATATAGCCTTTTGAGTTGTGCACATGCAAAAGCCCATTTCAGAATAACATGTTCGAATCTAATGAAAGGAAACTGCTATTTGCTTCTGTAAGATACAAAACCAGCATAAGTTTATCATATTCATTTATTGATCATAATACCAAGAATACAATTCTTGAAAATAAAAATAAAAACAATTCCAAACAACATAAATTTCTTTTCAAGATTCCAGTATATACTCCGTCACACCAAATCAATGTAATAATCACTTCAACTCCTTTCCCCCCCTTCAAAAATTGGGAAATAAGGAATTGACCAGAAAAACAAAACCTTTACTTAAATATTTGAAAACTCCTATCATTTCCGACAATAATAGTTACAAAAATAAAAATTTTAATTATTTTTTTCTATTTAAACACCTCGAGCCAACATTTCTTGAAAATCAAGAATAGATTGTTGTCTTTCAATCTCCATATCTTCACGAAACTTAGAGATAAATTCCTCAGCTTTTCTATCCACTCCATTAATATGTGGCATTGAAGGAGTTCTCCATTCTTCAATATCACATATTCTACTATTACTACTTTCAACTCCCTTACCTTTTTTTATTGCAGTTTTTTCCTCAATTGCCCTCATAATAATCTCTTGCTCTTCTTGATCCAATTTGCTTCTATTAACATCACCACCACTGCTTGAAGCAACGGATTCTTTAGTCTGAGGCGCGGATATTATACAGCTTTGTTTTTGCTCGCATGGTTTTTTAACTATAGGTTCCGGAAAAAGCTGGTCCACATATATAGGTGAAGTATTCTTGTGACATTGTTGGTATTGGTAATAATGGTAAAAATTGCGATGAGTACGTGGGGGTGAAGAACGATTGATCAAAGAGTAGAATTTTCGAGTAATAATAGGGAAAATATAGTTGTAAGCTCTAACACAAAGGTTTTTGGAATTTTTGACTGCTTTTGAAAGCTTGAGCTTGTGTAATCTTGATTGTAATTTGTTGGTGAAGCTTTTCCATGCTTTTTTAGTGGGTAGAAGCTTCTTACCTAAGTTGAAATTTGACATTCAATTTAGTGTTATGAGAAGAAATATTGATGTTTTTTTTAGAAGAAGAGGCTAGATTGAGAGGAAGAGAAGTTGAAGAGTGGATTTTATTTGGAGTTGTGTGTGTGTGTAAGTTGTATAACAGAAATGTTAGGCTGGATTGGTTCCTTGAACCTTTTGGTTATGACTCATTCTTTTCTTCACATGATTTCTTTTATCATCTTTTTTGGCTTTTTTGTAAGAAAGGGATCAAAGATTAGACTGGAAACCTAAGTATAAGAAAGCAAAGAAGGTCCTTTTTTAAGAGACCTTCGCACAAATAGTCGGTTCGCTTCACTGTTTATTTTTCCTAATCGATATGCATACATTATATATATATATATATATATATATATTGGTTAGGTGGAAGACTGCTTAATATTTTTTTTCTAATGTTTAGGTATATCTAACTTTCGGTTTAAGTATTTGAAGTCTATGGCGGCAGAAATCTTGAGTCTTAAGTTTGTGCTTTATTTATTGAGAAAATTTAAAATAAAAAGAAAAATGAAGAAAAGTGTAAGTTTGATTAGAAAGTTGTAGTGGATTTCTTTGGTGGTAGGCTAAATGGCTAATGGAGTAGTGCTCCTTTTGCCCCACAAATGCCTCTTTAACTAAGGAAATTAAGGTACACATTGAAGGTTGACTATCAAATTTTCCTTCATTAAATCGAATTCTATGAAAAAGATTCTTGTTATGACAAATTGAGGAATTTTAGAAATTAAACTCATCATTTTATAATTTCATGCCGCGATAGGATAACCGAGGGTCTATTGAAAACAACCTCTCTGTCATCCCAGGTTAAGGGTAAGGTCTGCGTATACACTGTGAAAATTTACTAGGTTTGTTATTATTGTTGTTGTTGTTATGCACGCATAGGGTCGCATTTTACTATCTATTGGAATTGTTTCTCTATTTTTGTTCTCCCAAGTCCCCCGATGGACAATTTTTTTCAGTTCTTTTTATTACATAGGGGAAGGAGAGAACGAAAAGGTATTGTCTCTAATTATAAATAATGTCTCTAACTATAAATAAAAAAAATTCAGGTTGGAGTGTTTTAATAAGCTGAGCTATTTGATTTTGTTATGTGACCACATCAAGGTAAATTTGTGTACAAGATGTGACAAAGGCTAATTCCGACTTGTAAAGATAAGAATCGTACAGTGTGGTTGCTAGTCTGGTTTTGAAGCGCACACTAACCTCTCTTTACAGCTCAAATCTATATGTGCTCCAGGCCCAGTGGACCCACTATTACAATCTTCTCCAGGTAATATTCCACTTTTTATACAGTTTATTATAATTTTTTCAACATACTCATTTACAAATTGCATAGATATAATAATCCTTTACAATTTGCATAGAAATCTTTTATTTGTAAAAACAAAAATCTATTTAGATATTTGACATAAACTGTAATAGTCCACTAACTTAGTTGTAGGATTATACTGGAATTATTATTGTAATCCACTAAACCAGTCCGCTTAACCAATTAACCCTTTAGCTCTCCATGTTTGCTAAATTATAGTACTAATATATCTCCCTCTGAACTAAGTGTTAACATTATAATGATTTATTTTTATAACCACAAGTATGGAATACTTTTCTTTTCTTCAGTATTTTCATCATAACTTATTCTCTTAACCTGTTTTCTTGTATTTTTCAAACTGAGTCGAAACAACCTATATCACATTGATATATTGTTGTAAGTACAAGTGTAGCTCTGTTCTTTCCCGATTCTTAATCCCACAAGTGGATGATTGATCTTAGGGATGGCAAACGGAGCGGCGTGGGTTTAAGGCTATGCGATGAGATGTGGATGCAGGGCGGGTTGAAAATATTTTCATACAAATTGATACGGTGCGGGGCGAGTTGCAGGTTATGAGGGTTTAAGTAAGTTTTCTTCTTATTCTTCCTAATCAGAAAATAAAATATTTTTTTTTCTTGACTATTGTTCATGGTGGCATTTTTTTTGTGGAATGAAAAAATATATTCATCTCCAAAACAAGTACAACGAAGGGAACAACGAAGGGAATACAATGAAAGAAAAACAATGAAGCAGCTCACTCTAACTTCTAACTATATAAAGAACTGTACATGTATATTCCTACCCCCTATCTGTCTATCTATATATATTTTCTAGGCATCTTCTATCCTTGCCTTTTTTTCGCTTGTTGAGTATTCCCACCATTCGAACTTTGCATTCTTCTTTGATTTGCTCACATACTTTGTGAGGTCTAGGGACTGAACTCTGCCATAAGGCTTCATTCCTCCCTTTTCACACATGATAGTTAGTCGCTGCCAAGACTGCAAAAGCAAATTCTCTGCTCAGATTGCCTCCCATTTTTCTTGCTACTCTTCTCCGTAGGAGCTGTCCTTCAACGTTTGTAATTCTGACCTTTAGCCACTGTAGTATTGTAGTTATGCATCTTCTTGAGAATTGACATTCATAGAATAAATGGTCAACAGTCTCTAATGCATTTCCACATAGAACACACATGCCATCTGTATTGATTCCTCTGCGTACCACCCTGTCCTTTGTAAGTAACTTCTTCTGCATAATCAACCAGCATATAAAGCTATGTTTTGGAATGTTTTGTTTGCTCTAGACCCATCTCCCCCATTGGCAATTGTCTAGAGTTCCCTTCAACTATGCGTATCCTTTTTGGATTGTATACTTCCCTGTAGCTGACTGCCATCCCCCATGAACATAGCCTCCAGCCAATTTATCTCTAACATGACAAATTTTCTTCCAGTACCAGCTACTATGCATTGTAACACTATGTTGCCACCAATCTACATTTTTGAGGTAGATATGGTTAATCCATTTAACCCATAGTGAGTCAGTCTTATGAGTTATATCCCAAACATATTTCCCAATAGCTGCCTTATTCCATGCTACACAATCCCTTATACCTATTCCTCCTTCTTGTTTCGGTCGACCCACAAGGTCCCAAGCTACTAGGGGTACTCTGCTTGTTTCCACCTTACCATCCCACAGATAATTTCGACATATTACTATGATACTTTTAAGAACTGTTTTGGGAAGTACGAATATCGAAGCCCAGTATGTATGAATATGCATCAAAACCATTTATCATTTGTACTCGACCTACATATGATAAGTTTCTTGAACTCCAACTACTTATTCTGGTGGCCAGCTTATCCACTAGTACTTGACAATCCATTTTGGATAGCTTCTTAGATGATATTGGAACCCCTAAGCATTTGAATGGGAGCCTACCTTTACTATACCCTATTATTTCACATAGGTCTTCTATCTCCTATGCCTTCATATTCACAGCAAATATGTTCGACTTCCTTGCATTTGTAGTTAATCCTGATGAATTGGAAAATGTCTGTAGCCCTCTCAATAATAGCATCACAGAATGGAACTCCCCTTTACAGAAGAGGAGTACATAATCTGCAAAACATAGATGATTAAGCTGCAAACCTCTACACTTAGTATGAAAGCTGAATTCCTCCTGTTGTGCCACTAGTCTCATTATCCTTGAAAAGTATTCCATACATATTACAAACAGTAAGGGAGATATGGGATCTCCTTGTCTCAGACCCCTCTTCCCTTTAGTGTTCCCATAAAGCCCTCCATTTATAGTCATTGTATATTGAGGAGTTGAGATACATTCCATGATCCACTTTATGAACTTCATACGGAAGTTGAGTGCATGTAACATTTCTTCCACAAACTCCCACTCTATAGAATCATAGGCCTTCTTAAGGTCTATTTTAATCAAACAGCTCTTTGTTGCAGCTTTCCTATTGTAAAGTCTCACCAGGTCTTGACAAATTAGTATATTTTGCATGATTGTTCTCCCTGCTACAAATGCACTCTGATTCTCTGAAATAATGTCTGGCAGGATGAACTTTAACCTATTACACAACATTTTAGATATAACTTTGTAAACTGTGTTGCAACAAGCAATGGGTCTATAATCCCCGACTGTCTCTGCATGACTACTTTTAGGAATCACTGTTATTACTGTGTTATTGATTGTCTTCAGCAGCTTCCCTGATGTAAAGAACTCTAACACTGCCTCCTTAAGGTTTTTGCCAGTTATGTCCCAGCTATCTTTGAAGAATTTACTCCCATATCCATCAGGACCAAGAGCTTTTTCTCCATCAATTTGCCATAGTGCTTGTTTAACTTCCTTTTCTGTGAAATCTTCTGTTAATAACCGCCTTTGCTCCTCTGTTACCACTTCCTTCCTCACCAGAGTGCTGCATACATGAGCTCTGCTATCTGTAGTAGACCCTAGTAATGTAGAGTAGAATTCCACAAAAGCATCTGCTATCCCATCCATATTAGTTACCATATTACCCATCGAGTCCTTGATTGAGAGAATTCTGTTAGTATTTCTTCTTGCCTTCATATAGCTGTGAAAGTATTTGTTATTTTGGTCCCCTTGTTTCAACCATTGTATTTTACTTTTCTGTCTAAGAAATTGGTCACTTGCTTCCTTAAATCTTCTATAGTTGCTTGCCAATTCCTGCTCCCTATCAATAAGTCCAGTACTTGTGGGGTTTTGCTGAAACTGCTTTTGGCACTCCTCAAGTTCTTCCTTAGCTTGTTCAGCTTTCAGTTCTTTATCACTGAATTTAGTTCTGTTCAGTTGCTTTAGTATCCTTTTCAATATGTTCATTTTCCCCACTATTTGGTACATTTTAGTCCCTGTGATTCCAGCATTCCAGCTATTGGCCACTTTTACCTTAAAATCTGGATCCATGCTCCACATATTAAAGTATTTGAAAGGTCTATTAATTTTCTGTTTCTCATTCTCCCAGTTGATGATGGCTGGACTATGATCAAGCGGTCCCTCGGTCATATAGTGTACTATTGAAGCTGGTAACTGTGATAACCACTCAAAATTAACCTAAACTCTGTCAATTTTGCTCAGTACTCTGTCTTCTCCATTCTGTTTATTATTCCACGTATAATAGGAACCAGTTTATTTGAGTTCTTGAAGACTACATGTATCCACACATTGACTAAAGTCCCTTGTTTCAACCCTTGTCACAATGCTTCTTATTCTTTCATCTTTATTCAACACATTATTGAAATCTCCCATCACAGCCCATGGCCCTCGATTATGATTATATATGTCTACTAACTCCTTCCACAAGTTCCTTCTGAGAGCTATGTCATTGTACGCGTATACCATGGTTACATTGAATGTCATCCCAGTACCTTTATGTCTCACTGCACTGTGTATTAACTGATCAGTAGTTCTTAATATATCCACCTCAAAGATCATTGGCTTCCATAATAGCCAAATTCTTCCTTTAGGATGTTGTGCCAAATTTGTTGTAAACGACCATCCATCACAAAGATTAAGAGAAGCTCTGTGAGCTTGTGTTCTCTTAATCTTTGTTTCCAGGAGACCAAACAAGCTAGCACCACTATTATGCATAAACAGATGTATATCTCTCTGTTTATCTAGCCTGTTTAGTCCCCTAGCATTCCAAAAGCCTAGCTTATCCATTAGGCAGGGGCTTGCCCCCACCCCTCCCACGTCCTGGACCCATCACCCCTAGTTCTCCCTCAGGGCAAGAAGTACTAGGTTTACTTTGCCTTAATTCCTCTGCACTCCCTCCTTTGTCAAGAACCTCAAATGTATTTCTTGTTGGTATAGTTTTAGGATCATTCTGCTGTTTCTCTATCCTTTTGTCACTGGCTTTGTTTTCTCCCTTGTTGTGCATCTTATTCTGATTTGGTTCTTCTGTTGTTTGCTTCCCCTGCTCAATTTGCTTCCTTCTGGTTTCTGCTTCTTCCTTATGCAGTTTCCTGCAGTCTTGCAGGTCATGTCCAAAATTCTTACAATTTGAACACAGCGTAGGCTTCCATTCATAATACACCTCTTGTTTTACTATTTTTCCCACTTCATTCTCGAACATTACTTGCTTAGGGTACTGCTGATTTATTGACATTTCAACAAGCACCCTAGCAAATGCTAATCTCTCCTTATTAGTTGTTGCTCTGTCAACTTTTAGTGGTTTTCCCACCATCCCAGATATCTTAGTTAGGGCATTCTTCCCCCAGTACTTGATATCCGACCCTTTAAGCCTTATCCACACTGGAATTCTATCCACCTTTTCCTTGCTTACATCCACTTCTGGTTCCCATGGCTTTACTACAACAGGCTTTTTGTCGAACATCTGGACTCCTTCCTCAATGACTTTGATTCTTCTTTCAATTGTGTGAAATCTTATCAGGAAAATTCCTCTATTGACTTGTGCAATTTTATCAATCCTCAAACCTTCCCATATTCTCCTAAAATAGCCATCAATTACATTCAATGGGGGATTGGATCCCAATACATAACATATCACTGCTGTTTTCCAGTAGATAATTTCGTCCTTGATATCATCCATTGAAATTTTAACATTTTCTCCTGCCAACTCCTCACAATTTAGGTTTAAACCTTCATCATTCGGTACTGTGCCCACAATTTTACTCCATAAACTAGTTTTAGGATTCAATTGTACCTGGCTTGTCGCCCTTGTCTCCATAATTTCCGCCTCTACTCTATCCGCCCATGATCCACCTGATTGAGCCAGTGAAGTCATCGCCGGAATCAGTGGAGTCGTCACCGAGTCAGTAGAAGTCGTTGCATGAGCAATTGGCGTCATCGACAATCCTTGGCTTAACCCTAATGGCACAATACCTTGAATTGCATTGATGTTTCTCGTCTTCTTTGCATTAGCTGATTGAGGGACTCCATTTCTTCTCAATTGATTGCTTGAATTTCCTACCAGACGATGTTGCCCTCCCCTCCATTCTTCGTTTTCCTCGTCATTTTCAGTGTTATCTGAGAGGAAAAGTCATTCTAGAAAGAGAAAGTCTCGGCGATATTCCGATTTTGAAAATTTTTGCATCGTGGCATCTGTGTGATGTTTTTTTTGGGTGAATCTCAATGGGGGAATGGGATTTAAGATCTCGAAAAAATATATTCTTGTAAAACTATTTTTTTTTACAATGAATACTAAACTAATACATAAGGGGTCATTTGCGTTTTTCACAGTGAGCAACAAATATTTTTTTGTTTAAATTGAAGAATTCAGTACATAAGCAAAAAAAAAACTTTCAATTTTTGGTTGATTAAACTGAAAATTTCAGCCAAAATATAAAAAAAGAAATAAGCAAACAACATGAGAAAAAAAAAAAAAGAACTTTCAATTTTTGGTGGATTAAACTGAAAATTTCAGCCAAAATATAAAAAAAGAAATAAGCAAACAACATGAGAAAAAAAACACTTATGCGAGCGGGGCGGATGGATGCGAGTGTATGTGGGGCGGGTAAATGCGGGTGAAAATACAATGCGGGGCGGAGTGGATTAAAATCTTCGCGGGCTTATGCAACCGCATTGCTTGCCATCCCTAATTAATCTACATCTAAAGTTTTCTTACTACATGTTAACCCATATGTGCTTCATTGTATTTGTTGTTGCACCTCATCTTATCATACCCTGCTTGACACGAATATATATAATTTTTTCTCACCTAATTTGGCCATCAATTTTAATTTTCCCAAATTTTCTTTTGTTCTTTTGAATTATTAAAATGGAACTGAAACTTTTAATTGGCAAAAGATAGTGAAGTTTAATCCATCAAACCAAAAAAACGAGCGAGAAAAAATAAAAGAAATTTGAAATCTCGTATTAACTCGAAACAAACATCACATGCTTTTCGCATATAATGCAGTTTATTAAGAGCCACCACTCAACTCATTGTTCTCATAACTTTACATTTTATTAGCTATTTAAACTTAAGCATTACACAAAAGCCTCAACAGCATTAGAAAGACAGAAACTTAAGCTTTTAAAAGAGCTTCAACAGCAGTTAAAGCATAGTTAAATGCCCTAGTTGAATATCCACCTGACCTTCTACCAGCAAAAACAGTTGCTTCTTCTCTATTATACTTTAAACTTCTTGCTTCTTGTCTTGAAATCTGGTAAGAATTCATTAGAACTTCCTCTGGCATTGCTCGGATCGCCGATAATCTGCCGGCGAGTGGGCTGGTCATGGCTTGATCGTTGGTTTTGAATGCAATGTAGTCTAGTCCTTGGTTTCCTGCTCTTTTTACTACTGCAAAGTTTTGTGGTACTATGAGCATTTGGCCTTCTCGGACCTCGTCGTTGAATACGGAGTTTCCGGTGTCGCCGACTACCTGAATCCGGCCGCTTCCTCGGAGAATGTAGAGGATGCTGTGTGCGTTCATGTTCCAGTATGGTGCCATTATTGCGTTCTGCAAAACTCAAATGTGGCACGATTAGGGTTGGCAATTTAAGCTTAAACATGTCTTGTATAATTTGTAAATTATGTAAGAATCAAAATAAGAGCATAAAATTCTACTAAACAATTATGTTCCTAATTTTGTAAATAGATTGCTCTTGGCAACAAAGTGCATTAATTTCGACAAGACTTGAGCCTAACTAAAGAAAATGGTTTTGAAATAATTACTACCCACCAAGCAAGTGTTACATATAATTGGAGTATATGGGAAATTTCTCTATAAAATTTTAACCTTTTATGCATTCCCTTTGCCAATGTTTTGTTTATTTGTTTGCTATTAATTGATATGAGAAAAATTGATATTCCAGTATTTTTCACATAATTACACATAAGGGTCTATCGAAACAACCTATCAGACCCCACTATGTTAGATTAGGTCTACGTATACACTACTCTCCCCAAACCTATGTGAAATTACACCGTGTATGTTTTTGTTGTCCTGATTTCTAAAAATTAACCAAATCAACCCTCAATAAACTAAAAATGTCAAACAAATTAATAGAAGTAGTTCTATGTTTTACTTGGAAAACTTGAGTTAATATGTAATTGACTCTAAAAAATATGTGAATTTACTCGATTAGGTTGTCATCTAGGTCTCGGTCGGAAGGCAGCCTGGTGCATAAAGTATTACGCATGATCCGAATAAGGCCCATACAGGGGTGATGTCGTCATGTCAACAACCTATCCTACCAAATTGAATTAATGACTGCTTCCACGGCTTTGAAACTTATAGATCTAAGTACTAGTAATATTTTGCAAAAAAAAATTGACTTGCCTGGTAAAGGACTCCTCTTTCAGCACTGAGCTGAAGCCAGTTGAGAATTGGAAGGTTATGGCTATTGAGGGTGCTAATACGTCCGCCACGTGGATTGTACACGTCAGCACGAGATGGGCGGCCCAAGTTCTCTCTAAGCCTCATGGTACAAATAGTTTCCTCAAGCCCATTGGGCTGTGATCCTCTTCTTCCCTCACGTTCTCTGCTGGGCCTCTGTTCTTCCCTTTCTTCAAATTCTGGGCTTAAAACATCGAACCTCTCGACCCGAATAATTCGGCCCCTTTGATCTTCTCGGCCCTGTAAATTTCTGACCAATTCAGGGTCCACGTTGAAAACATCGGCGAGCAGATTTTGGTCGAAGCCGTCGAAAAGGTTGCCGGTTTGACAACGTTGTTGTTGTTGTTCACCTTGTTCTTGTTCTCTTCTACCTCGGATTTCTTCTTCGTACCTGCTTCCACTTTGTCCTCTGGGATTTGGGTTTCCAGCTAGGAAGAAATGCTGTGAAATAATGAAATTATTATTAATTCCACAAACTATTCAAACAAAGTCTATATATGATTCTCATTGTATTCATTATTCTTTCGCGACATGAAGTACTAAGTTAAGAGATCACTACAAAAAAAAAATCTTAGTAATGAACTTCGTCCTCGCTTGTAGTTAACATAATCTCTTGATAATGTGTTGCTAATTCTATTGCTAAATCGCTAGTAACTATTTGATAATATGTTGCTAATCTTTCAATAGGAGAAGCGATAGAATTTTTCTATTAGCGACAGAATTTAATTCATGTGTTTAGGAGTGAGATAGAATAAGAGTATTCTTTATATATGTAAATTTTTATGCTTAAGTTAGCACAATTTATCCAATTTTCTATAGTTAAATTGACTATATTCAGCATATTTGTGTAAATTCAATCACCGGAAAGGTTAAAATTTAAGAATTACATGTAAAATTTATACCAAAGAAAATGTAGGGAAATTTTACTTTATCATCCAGAATCCCACTAGAATTTTTTCTGTAAATCTATAACAAGATTAACAAAGCCTTTTGACTTTTTGAATACAAGAATAAATCTTGTAAAAAAAAGACAGAAAGATAATAATGTACTAAACTACTACTCCCTCCGGTCCAATATTGTCCACTTTAATTGATTTTTGGCCTATTTTTTGTGATCCATAATAATTTTTTGGTCTTGGAGTAAAGAGACCATAATCAATTTTATTGTTAATTAATGCTAAGATATGAATTTGTTAATGTGTGTAAAAACATCAACAACAAAAAAAAAATTAATAATAGTGGACCGGAGAGAGTGTAATTTGGTGAAATTAAGGGTTAAAGTATGCTTTCAATAAATAGAAAGTGAATTTATATTTTGATACATTTGCTGCGAAAATAAATGGTACTGTTCCCTCTGTTCCAGTTTATGTGAACCTATTTCTTTTTTGGTTTTTTTCAAAGAGAATGATCCCTTTCTAAATTTAAAAATAATTTAGCTTAAACTATACAACTCTACCCTTAACGAGAAGAATTTAGAACCACACAAATACTGTGGACCCGTTGTTTAGGATCACAAATTCTAGAAGTCTTCAATTTTTTCTTAAATCTCGTGCCTAGTCAAACAAGTTCACGAAAGGATAATATAAAATTTCAAAAATTAATGCTTACCCTGAATTGGAGATCAAGCTGATTAGCAGGGTTGCTGGTATCAAGCAAAGCTACAGTAACAAGACGTTGTTGACCATTGTTGTAAAACCAAAGAGTAACACCAGCTGGCAATGCTAATACATCACCTTGTCTAAATTGCCTGACTTTCTGATGTTGATCACCACCAGTTCTGAACTGGCTTTCTCCTTCTCTGCTTTCTTCTCCCCTCATACTTCTCTCTCTTTGTGGTGATTCATATGTTTCAGCACATCCAGGTATTACAGTACCCAAAAGTCCGCTCCCTACCAAATATATAAGTAAATAAATACTAAAGCATTTTATATAAGAAGTTAAGAACTAAAACACGGCTAGCAATAAACTTTAGAAAGATTAATTTAATTACTTTCCACAAATAACTATTTACAACAACACACTACAAATCTTATACTTTCAGAACTGAAAATAGTACTAAAAAACAAAAATTAGCGATCCCTAACCCAATTTAGGGACGAATTAGGGACAAAATTATTATATTAGCTATGACTGATTCAGCGGCTAACCCAATTAAGGGACGAGTTAGGGACAAATTATTAAGAAATTCTATTAGCCAGCAATTTAGAGACAGATTAGCCACAAAGTTGAAACTCGTAGCTAATTCCAATTTTTTTTTTTTTTTTTTTTTGTGAAAGGCCATACACTTATTTGGAAAAAATATGTACATTCTCACATTGTCCCAAAAAATTGTTTGCAATATTTCACTTTTTGTTGGTTTTCATGGTACGCCAATGGAACTCAAAGTACTATGATAACTTAACAAATATTGTCAATAAGTAAACATAGTATGATAACTTATAAAATTTGATAAATGACCTGTTACGGAAATAATTAAAACCACGCTAATAATTTAAAATTTGGTTATATTATCCGTGTTTATAAATTAAATGCCAATCATAAATATGCAAACCTTGGACAATGTAGAGGAGTTGAGGAGCATTATTGTAATGAGGCAAGAGCAAGCCCTGAGGTTGAATAACATTTCTAACAGCAGCAACTCCAGCACATTCAAATTCCTCATTGTTACGGTCCCAAAACTCAGTGGTTCCAGCCTCTGAGTCGAATTTATAAGTCGGCTCCCGAGCACTAAGGCTCTGGATCCGACACTCAGTTCTAGCTCGGCCACGGCGGTGTTGTTGCTGTTGCTGAAGTTTCTGCCAAAAGAATCGTTGCTGTTGCTCTATTTGAGCAAAGCAACCATTAAAGAGGAGAACAAAGCAAAGGGCAAGAGGAAGAAGAGAACGTATTCCCATATTGCTGATATTGTGTGGTGATTGATGTGATGAGAAATGGGGAGTTTGGTATTTGTAGGAGAAGAAGGGGTGATTAGGGTTTGACACGTGAAATGTGAAGGTGAGACATTTGGCTTTGTTTTTCTGCATGGCCATGCATGAATTTATTATTAGGATTCTTAGTTTCTTGACACCTAAGAAGTTAATAGTTTGCTATGTGGCGAATATCCGCAGAAGAAAATAGTGAGTTTATGTTTGGGTTTGCATGGATTCTTGTTTTGATGCAAAGGAGACAGAAGGAGCTGAGGTGTAAATGCATTTATCCTGTTAGAGGACTACATACATAAACATATATACAAATTGATGCACTCGGTACAATATGGCTGAGATTCTTAGATTAAAATGTTGGGAGGGGATTATATATGTTGGCAATCAGCAAGAACTCAAGAAATATTATGTATACTTATTAACGCCATTAATTAACATATTTGATGAGTTGAACCAATTGTTAAGAGATTGAATTTGAAAACAGTAATCTACTATCTGTCAAACTTGATCAAGTTAGAGAGCAATACTTACGAAGTAAAGTCGTGAACTATTGGACCAAACAACTTTTAATGACATCATGTTCAGTATGTTGGACGGATCGAATTACGGGTTGTTGGTGTAGAGTTTTGAACAAACATTAATGAAGAAATCTCGGTAGAGCGTTTTTCTCTTAGATGAACCCTATGCAACTGAATTTAAATTAATTGAATTAATGAGTTTCGAATACTAAATAGAACTTATTAATAAAATCCATAATTTATTTCAATCATAGTGTTGGATTCTTGTATATATTCTAGACAAGAGCACTACTAGAATACTACCTAAAATCGTCCAGAAATACCGACCGAAATTGGTCGAAAAATTGGAAAAATCGATCAATTTTCGACCAACTTTAATTTGTCAAAATTAGACTGGTCGATAATAAATAGCGACCGAAGTCGGTTGCAATTACAATTTCGGTCGGTCAATAAAATTTAATAAGCGACCAAAAAAGAAAAATTCTGCCAAAAAACCGACCGAAGTCGGTCCAGTTTAATTACGCAATTAAAAATGCACCGTCTGAGAATCGAACCGGGGTCCGAACTGTGAAAAGATACTATTCTACTACTAGACTATTGGTACATTTTGGTTTAAGACTATATTTTATTTATTTGTACTCTTTAATTGCATTTTCGCGCGAAAATAACCGATCGATTTTGGTCAGTTTCAGTAAAAATATAAAATTACCGACCGAAATCGCTCGGGTTTTTAAAATGACCGACTTAAATAACCGATCGATTTCAGTCAGTTTTTTGAATATTTATATGAAAAGCCGACCAAAGTTGGTCGATGTCTTAAAAAATAAATTTTGGGGGAAGCCAAAATAGTTTTCCGTATTTTTGCGCTAAAAAAATCAACCGAAGTTGATCGGTTTCGTAAAAAAAAGATTTAAAAATAAAATATTTTAAAATACCGACCGATCGAAGTCGGTCGATTTGTTGTGGTGATTTTGGTCGAATTTCTAGTAGTGAGACTCTAGAATGTTATTGCTAAATTAGTAACAAATTCACTGTAATGGACTTGAGTCTTCTTGAAGAAAACAAATATTCCCACCTCAATCAATAGAATTGGTATTATATCTTTTTTATCCGTACTTCTATATTTCATCGTAATCTTCGATCACAATTGTTTGATCCTAAGTTTAGATCTGAGTTTAACCAATTAAATTTAATAACATAGAGTCGATCTTAGCCAATATTAATATCTAAAAGATATATTAGCTGATTTTGTAGTTAGACAATATGTATATTATTCGAATGACAATAAATGTTGACAACACTAACAATATTCAATGACCCAAGAAGAGAAAATATCATTAAATACCGATAAACAACAATGAATGTGTTTAAGTAAATAAGAACGTGTGAATCACCCGAAGGGGATGAGATCTATGGATATTTCTTCTGAAAATAATGAATGATTGATGAGCATTGGAATGTTCAGGTTGTTCTTGGATCAAGTGAAAAAGTTAGGCAAGAATCTTAGGAAAAAAAGATTTGCTATATGTTTGCAATAAAGCCAGATTCTATCTAGAAAATCAATTGTGTTTACTTACAAATGCATATCTTATTTCCCCTATCCTTGTGCATCTTTCTATTTTCTAGGGAACATATACCTAAAAAAAAAACTTAATAGTACAAGTACAGAGAATAACCACTAGAATATTCTCTTTTGATGTCTTATCCTAAAACTAGCCGTTATTCACTCTGTCTACGATGAGTGCTCGACCTCGACCCTGATCTTTGCCGACTCCTCAACCTTGATCTTCAATAACTTCATCGGCTCTGCCCTTCAACCACTTCGACCTTGGGCAGACCTTTGTCGAAGTCGTACTAGTGACATGTGGTAGCCCATGAGGGCCTTCTTAATGCTAATACGGTTTAGTCATGTCAAAGGTAATTTTTAGCTCATACAATTAGTCCATCCACTTATTGAGGTCGTCCTCGCAGGTGAGTTTAATGAGCTGATAATTTTATTTGTGATCGAATCTGTCGAGTAAACCATATGAGTCGTAGTTGTTATGGCGAGCAGGAAACGTGGCCCTTTGTGGGCCTCACATTTCAAATTCCTTAGGTTTTCCGGGTAATTTGTTGGAGCCATCTTGTCCAAGAGTTGTGATGACGCCATGCCATCATGTTTGTTCCCGATGCGTTGCTTCGATTTGTGCGTGACCCAAATTGGATCTGCGTTTTGATTCAGGTGCCAATTATGATGAGCCGTTTCGGGTTTGGTGCCATGATTTCTATAAATAGAGGTTGTTGAACCTGAATTCAAAATTTGCTCTTCTAAAGTTTCGAACTACCAGCCTTCTTCTCTGAATCTTCTTTCTCTATTCTGTTGCCTTACACCATACCCCAATCTCTCCTTCTTGTATTCCTTTTCCTTATCTCGAAGTATGTCAAACTTGCTCTCGAATGCTGGTGAAGGGAGTCGTGTTGCTCCCTTGGCGGTTGTATTTCCCACCCATGGGGAGAGTGTTTCCGCCATTGCTGAGGATGAAGCTTTTCTGTCGGTGGAGGAGATAATCCCCCGTACAATTTGTAAGTTTAGCTTGATAATTTACTTCTAAAGTTCCCGCTATATATATATATATATATATATATATATATATATATATATATATATATATATATAANTTTAAGGAGGCATACCAAGGGTTGCCTTTTGCGTCTTCCAGGAATTCGTATTTAAGTTGAGTTGAGACAATTTGCATTATTTTGAATTTATTAGATAAGTTTAATGTATTAGTTTATTAGACAATTTGCTCTTATTGGCATTTGGCAGCAATAAACACTAAATTTTTAATTGTTGTAAACTTTTAATTTGTAAGTTTAAAAATAAAAATAAAATTAAAAATAGAACTCGCAAGTTAATTTGAAGTATCATTATGATATGAAAATATGAAGTGAAAGTCTTTAAAGTTGATCCTTACATATTGGTCTTATTAAATAACTGTATGTATTCACCTAATTTCATTTTTCAATTTGTAAAATTCAAATTTAAAATTTAACACTTTAAACTTTAACTTTAAAAGTTTAAAAGTGTAATTTTATGCCATAATACTTATTTTATTATTTAGAAGTTTGCAAACACTTAAGTATCAATTACATTGAACAAGAAAATACAATATATATATATATATATATATATATATATATATATATATATATATATATATATATAACATATGAATTTTGTTAACACTATATGTAGGTAAACAATTCAAATAATGGGGTAAATCAATTTGAAAGATATATTTTGGGGACCTGGGTTTCAGGTCACAATGATGTCTAAGTACGTAGTGAATGGTTATAAGTTTCATACGGAGGATTGGCCGAAGAATAAAAATAGCAACAAAAGCGGGGTATGGGTTCAAGGTGGTGATGGTAACCAAGTTGGAGATATTGATTATTATGGTATGGTCAAAGAAATATTACAACTAGAATATATAGGTTGACCATATAATAAACTGATAGTCTTTAGATGCAAGTGGTTTGACCCAAATCCAACAAGAGGTATAAAAGTACACCACCAATACAACATATTTGAGGTTAATCATATGAGGGAGTATGATCGCTATGATCATTTCATAACTGCACATAACGTTAGGCAAGTGTATTATGCTCATTATCCATTGCGGCGGAATAAGTCCGATTTGTGGGTTGTAATAAAAACTAAGCCCGTAGGTAGGGTGAAAGTCGAGAATGTGTTAGATGTTGCATATCAAAACGATATCTCCAGTGTTCACCAAATAGTGGACGGTCAGTTAGAAAATAATTTGGAACATGCTGAACGCATATTGGAAGAAGTTGATATAAATGAAGTAACAATTATAGAAAATGAGGACGAAGAATTAACTGATGAAATTGAAACAAGTGAGGATGAAGAATTCTCTGACGAGGAGTAGTACGTCGACGAGGATTAAGAAGTTGGTTTTTTAAAGCACTCTCGTGTTATAACTAGTTTCTTATTTTGTCATTCTAAATATGTATTATGATATGCAGATGGCAAGTAATAAGTGGGGATTTAGACTACTTATTAGCTTATTTTAGCTTTTATTTTAGTCTAAAGTATTGAATTATGTCCCCGAAACTAATGAAATGTGTGAAATTGCAGGAATGTTAGAAGTTGGACTCCCAAGATGATATCCGACTCAAAGAGGAGTAGTCTAAACACAAGGCAATAAAAGGCACATAAGTTTACAATGTGTGGTCCGCAGAATTCTATCTGCGGTCACAATCAAAGAAGGAAAACTCAGCAGACCTTTAAGCAAATTGCGGACCGCACATGAATTGTGCAGCCGCAAAAGCTGGGCTAGGAACATGATCAGAGAATGACAAAAAAGCCAAGTCTAGAGTTTCCTCAAATTGCGGTCCGCACAAGATCTGTGCGGCCGCAAAAGATTATCTTGCGGACGCAATCATACTATTGCGGACCGCAAAAGAGCGCCTTGCGGCTGCCGTGCTAAAT